GAGAGAGAGAGAGAGAGAGAGAGAGAGAGAGAGAGAGAGAGAGAGAGAGAGAGAGAGAGAGAGAGACGGACGTTGTACACATTGCTTACAATTTGAAGATATTTTATGCTCTTGCTCTTCTTCTTCAGAGAATCTTGTGTTGTGACTCCATTGCTATCTCAATATTGTTGTTGTCTTTCAATTAGCATCTCGAGTTTGTATGGAATCGGATCATACGTCTCTGAAGTAGGGTTCATTCCAATGAATCCAATCACATGATACCAACTTTTTCTTGAACGTGTTTCCTACCTCCTCTGTGAGGCAACAGGCATAGGCATGTGGATAAGTGTAGAGAGAAAATAAGCTGTTCTCTTTTCCAGCTCCCTTTCTTCTCCATCTTGCCACCAGCCTCTCCATTCTGAGAAAGAACAGATATCAGAACATGCAAACTTCCTTTATCTCACTTCTCGAATCCCCTTACCCCCCCCCACCCCCCTCCTCTTCTGCCCCTCTCCTTCAACTTCCAAGCTCATCTTCCCTTCTTACCTGGACTGAGTTTTGCCTTCCTTCTACCTCTCTCTTCTTTTCCGCCTTAATTTTATTGAAGTATTTTCCTGTGCAATGATCCTATCAATGTTCACCCGAATACAACGTACAATATACGGTCATTATTGCTGTATTTAGACTGAAACATACCCCAGCTACAGCTATAATGACTAAACGTTGTATTCAGGTGAAGACGGTGGTTCAAATCACGATGCAATACTAAAGTTTCAGGCAAAGAACATGGACTGCAACACAAAGATGAGAAAGAAGTGTGGAAGGCAGAGGAGGAAGACAAGAATAGCACTTTCAATGTCAACTCAACCTCATCTAGCCACCACACCATCGGCCCAAATCACCTCCCCCTCTCTTATTGCTCATCAATAACAAAATGAGTACATGATTGCACTGAGAGTCAATGTCTGATCTCTACTACTATAGTAGCAAATGATCTTGAGAGTGAACTACTCCAGCTCGTCGACCCCAAAACTCCCTCCTTGCTAGCATTACGGCATCCAGCCGTCTGCAAGACACAAGCAGGATGTCCAGAAGAGAAGACAACACAGGAGAGTTTCTGCCTCCCTCCTCTAGAGCAGCATCCCCACAGGGTCGAGTCTCCACCCAAAGAACCCTGAAATGGTGGATCATCAAGAGGCCAAGGCACTGTGATCCCAGGGACAACCTGAACCCAACCCCTACAACGACCTGGGCATTAAAAATGAAAAAGGAAAACGGTCTTTTTGATGTGGTGCCACGCAAGGGGATGAAGATGGTAGTCCATCACAGCCAAAGGTAGATCTTTTTTTTTTTTTTGGCCAAATTTGGACCATTTTTTTATTTATGTCCGTTATCTTTGTGCAGGGGCCATGCTAATCTTCTCTGTATTGTTCCAATTCTAACGGATGTCTGAAGGACAGTCAAACGTAAATCTAACATTATGGTTCCCCTCCTCTTCTTCTTCCCCATGGTCAATTCAAGGCCTCTTACACTGCATATCCAATGTGGTAACTAACACCCATCTCCATAGTCAAACCCTTCTTCTTCACCCTCCTCCTACTCCATAGCCACGGAGGTCATCTCCCTCATTGCTGGGCTCCCTCTCCATTCATCAGCTGCTCCGCTAGTCACACTCTCAAGGCAGACCAACACGAGGACTGCTGGCAAAGTGGATAACTAAGCCGGTGGAGCAAGTGATATACTGGATGGACTGGTATGTTCAGCAGCCAAGCTCTCCCTTCACCGATGGCTTTAGGCCTTACCACCTTGCCTCCAGTCCAACCAGCCGTCTGAAATGGTAGGCAAATCATTGCAGAGTGTAACATCCCTTGAAATCGGATGTACCGGCCTTACACATTCAGTCAGGCACCATCCTAAGTCTACTGGGGAGTTGCTGGAGAATCCGTACTGAATCCCTGCAATTTTAGTATTTTTTACTACTTTACCTATATGCCCTTGCTCATCCTACTTTTGTCCGTAAGTCTGGACACGCAACCAAGTTTCAGTCCTACCCCTCTATGCTTCCGAATCGCAGTCTGGACACGCAACCAAGTTTCAGTCCTACCCCTCTATGCTTCCGAATCGCAGACATATCCCCCCGTGGAGCTCAACCCCAGTCAATGCCCTCAGGTAAGTGCCCTGGTCTGCAAACCATAGGAAATTTCAAATTTACGAATTTTCCCCCACAGGAGCCTACGTACATGTGGGATGTAGCCAACTTGCTGAGCTACCCACGAGAGTGCAACATTTGCAGGTAAGTCCTTCTCCAAGGCCGAGGTCAAAGCATGTACAAACAGCTAAATACAGCGAGGCACGAACAAAAAGGTGAGTACAGCAAAGCCCTTGCACAGCCCAAGACTTATGGGAATAGACAGATTCATCACAAGATAGACATAGACCATCATAGACAAGCCATTCTCAAAGAAATGTCAGAAATCTCTGCGCTTCTTAACCCAGGCAAAACTTAGGGCCTGAACAGACGCAGGATTCTGCTCAGCAAAAACACAGGTAATTTTCTAGAACTGAAAACTGCGCGGATTGTTGCGCCTGATTCTCCATTGAATTTTCTTGTCCTGTTTTTTTCGTGTAGCCCTCTCCCAGACCTCAGCCTAGCCTGTGCCCTTTGCCTCACCCAGAGGCACCCGACTTGGAAGTGTCTTTGCCTCTACCACAGAGCATCGCAAACCATCCCTCCATTTTCAGCACTGCTTCCCACCACCACCTTCCGTGCCTGACTTTGTGTTTCCCAAGTGATGTGCTGATGTGTGTAGTGCTTGTACCTGAGCGATATTCCGATTGAACTTCACGCCATAGAACAAACCCGTGCTTTGTGGGGACATAAACACAGCCCCTCCCGAGTCCTGCAAAATAGAGAACAAAATCCAAAGGTTCCAAGAATCCAAACACAAACAAAATTAGATCATGAGGGTTCTTGAAGTTTTTGTGTTATGAACCTAACTTGAGAAGAAGCTGGCATAATCATCATCATCATGTGCAATGCTCACAGTGCTCATCATCATCATGTGCAATGCTCACAGTGGTCAATGAAGGACGTGGATACCATTTGACCTCTCCTCCTTCTTCCAAGTGTGCAGTAAGATCCAAACAGCGAGCTCACTAGATAGCAAGGATTCACGTCACATCTGCCTTACTACTATGTCTGCAACCCGGGTAAATCACTTGCGTATAACCGTTTGCTACATACAAAAGTCGAGCAGTAGTCACTCTGAGTCGAGGAAAGCTTTCGTCATCGGTTACATCACTAGTCTCTATTCCCTAGTGCCTCCCTCACACGTGCGTAGGCCACAACGCCATCCATCCCGAACCCTATCCCAACTGAGGTCACCCACTCAAACCCAAACCCCACTCTTTCCCCAATACCCCCCCCCCCCTCCATAACAACACATCCCACCCATCCATCCCTCCGCCCAAACCACTCAGATCCCCCTCACCCACCTGCGCAGGCCACTCTCCCAGGCGAAATCCTCCAATCTACTACCCACCCCACTCATTCCAAAGCACACGACTCACACACCCCACCAACCCTCTCTCCTCCTCTGTCTCACAACACAGCCCTCCACAACCACTCGCAGACTCGATTTCCCGAACGAGCCTCCACACCTTCCATCCAAGCACCGACAGGCCGAAAGAGCTTACAACCCGACCAGCTCAATATCGAAGGAGACTCTATCACAAATGACTTCCCTACATTGGAGAATTTCCATAAACATTTACCCCTCTTATCACCCCTCTTTCCTCCCAGTCTAGTAATCTTTTTGATTTATAATAGATTATTTTAATAAAAATAAACTATTTTTTTCATTGCCATTCAAATCTCCCTCACTCTCTTCCTCGTCCATCCCTACATAAAAGCGGCCACTACCCCAATACTACCCGCTCCGCCATATTCGTATAGCTTATAGACCTGAGCCCCCGGTCATCATTTCTGTAATCTCATTTAAAGTACCTCGTCATTTTCTTTTAAAAATACGGTTCGAAGTATTCAGCTCACTTTTGCAAATAAGCGATCCCCAAGTGGGGAGGCGGCATGCTGACCAATTTTTTCACAGACTGAATACCACTTTCACGGCCAACAACATTCGAGATACAACTCAATTCGCCCTTCATCCATAACATTACAACTTTAACTATTTAAAATACCATCTATAGCACCTCTATTATTATTAAATAAAACATCAACACTACCACATGGAATGGCTACGATCCGCACCACCGGACAGGGATCCGGACCGTCCGTGGTCCCGGGTCCGGGGTCCGGGTCTGGAGAATGGTCCGGATGGCTGGATAATTGGGGGTAGCACAATTTTTTTTTTTGGGCCCCAGGTCATTTCCTTCCATGCTAGGCCACCGTGCAAAAATACTGGGCGTTTTTTCAAGGGCGGGGTCTGGCATCCAGACAGGGCCGGAAGGAGCCTCTTTCGAAAATTTGATGAAACCGACATCTTTTCTGTTTTGTTTCTTTCACGAGCCCGTATTGTGCACCTTCAAATGCGCCTGTATATTCCTGGGATACTATGCTTAGTGCATTCCCCTCCAAACACGAAGGGAAGCTGAAAAAAGGAAAAAAAACGAAGTGCCCATCTTCATAATGAATCAGTGCCCGTCAGAACGGGCGCCTGCAATGCACAAAAGACAAAATACCTTGTTCCCCAACTTACCACATGCATAAAAGACAAAAAATGTGGCGGTGCATCTTCCCATGTTCTAGCGGAATATTCATTCTCATTTTGCACATTTGGGGCATCGCCACACCACTGTCGAAATGTGCAAAATGAGAATGAACTTACTGCTGGAACATGGTCAGATGCACCCGCCACATTTTTGTCCCTTTCACGTGGCGATGCCCTTGGTGTGAAGTGGAGCGAGGCCCTTAGTGCCCCGTTCTTTCTCTGCCTTCCCGTCCTGCACACCTCATAAGGAAACTGACCTCTTGTTCTTTTTTTTCTGTTTTTTTTGTTTCTTGCTTTTTGCAGAAGGACGTGAATGTGTCCACTCAAATATGCCCGTATCTTCCCAGGATGGGATGATTCTTACATTCCCACCAAAAACAAACAAGAACAAAAAAAAAAAAAAAAAATAAAAATAAAAAATGAGCGTCCCATTTT